GGGCCATCAGTTTGTCAACTTTTCAGAAAGGCCTGGATATCTGATCCATAATTCAGTGGGGAATTGTGACCACAACTAACTCTTATATTTCTCGTATTTGTCGGCCGGTTTTCCTTTCAGAGAGGTGGCAGTTTGGGGTGGTATACTATTTAGTCATGTCCATGTTCCTTTTTTTTTTTTACATATTCTCATTTCAGTCTTTTCCTGATTAGGCCAAATATCAATAGATCTTCAATATGCCAGAAAGTTCTCTCCAGGATAGACTAAAGAGAAGTAGTATAAATTTGTCATTTTGGGTTTATATTTTTGTCAGTAAAAGATATCCTCTTTTAAAAAAATTTTAGTCTATAAATCTGGATGAACATTTTACTCTTTATAAGTTTAACATACTGTTTCTAGCAAAAGTTTTCTTATAAAAGTTGCTCAACTGTGGCATTATTACCGTTTTGGGGAAAAAGAGACTATCCTGTAATTCAGAATTACCTACCATTCTCTAGCAGTTTTTTTGTTAAGAGAAACAGCTATCAAAAGCTTTGAGGAAAAAAGCCAAACAATTCAGCAATAAAATAAAAAAACTTGGTCGGGGGAAAAAGAAGGAGAGTGAGAAAGAACTAGAAGAAGCATGAAATACGAACCTAACTTAGAGTACAGTTGTTATTCTTTCTACTCATAAAATACACTCCTTTTAAAAAGTATTATTATCAACTTGTCATACTAAAAGGGAGTCCAAGCTGTACTGCAATCCCAAAGGTACATGGTTCAAATCCACCAGATGCTCTGCTGAGGAAGGAGGGGCAATATCCTCCTGTACCAGTCAGACCTGACGGCATACACACACACACACACACACACACACACACACACACACACACACACACAGAATAATAATAAAATAATAAAAAAGATAAATAAGAAGAGAGTCCAACTAATTGGCGCAAATATGCTCCTTACTCTAATCAGCTGAATTAGCAAACAGCTGCATAACAAAGATCTACTTGAGTTACCAGAAGACAAATATAGTATTAATACGTATACTGGACTCAAGCATCATTTCCATTTTATTGGATATTGCAAATGTTTGATAAACATTTTTAATTTTGATAAGCATGAGCAGGGGAACACCTGAATATTTTAGTTGATATTTTGGAAACAATAAAAACCCAATTAATGTAGGTTAGAAAGCTATGGTGACCTAGTGGGTAAGGAGTTGCTTTGCCAACCAAAAGGCAGGTGGTTTGAATCAACCAGCTTCTCCTGGGGGAAATGATAAGCAATCTCCTTATATGTGAATTGATAGCCTCTGAAAACCTGCTAGAGGATCACTTATGAGTTCGTTTCTATTCAACAGCAATGAGGTAGGGAATGTAGTTCATTTTTCATTCTTAGGTCAACTGATAATTAGCTTCATAGTTCTCTACTCCCAATAGACACGGGGAGAGGGAGAAGAGGGAGAGAGAGAGAGAAGAGGGGGAGAGGGAGAGAGGTAAAGGGAGAAAGAGAGAGAGACAGGCCATTAGCACTCAAAGACCTTTGCAGGGTTTCTTTGGGAGTGTGTGGGGTTTTGTTGTTGTTGGGGTTTTTTTTCAGGCAAATAAAGGATCCAGTTCTTCATAGGGAACTAAAAATAAAATACCAGGATAGAAATCTTTTTAAAGAGATGTTTTACTTATCCAGGACAACTGGAGTCCCTAAGTGACACAAATGATTACTCTGTGAGGTGACTAGTAGGGGAGATGCATAATATCGAGAAAGTCTGCTTACAGGGATTTCTCCAAAGTCCTGAAGAGCAATGATGTCAGTTTGAAGACTAAGGTGCACCTGACTAAAGCCAGTCTTTCTAATCACTTATGCATCTGAGAGCTAGACAATAAATAAAGATGACAGAAGAATGGATACATTTGAGTTGTGGTGTTGGAAAAGAGTACTGAACAGCCAAAAGAATAAACAGATGTATCTTGGAGAGAGTTCAACCAGAATGTTTCTCGAAGGCAAAGATGATGAAGCTTCATCTCAATTATTTTGAACATGATGTTAGAAGAGGCTATTGGAAAAAGGAATCATACTTGGAAAGGTGGAGGGTCAGTGAAAGAAAGGAAGACCCTCAACAAGATGGATCAATACAGTGTCTGTGGCAATCAATGCAATGTGTGCAGGATGATAAAGATGGTGCAGGATCTATTGTTCATAGGGTCACTATGAGTTGTATTCAACTTAACAACACTTAACAACAGCAGGCTACTAACAGAAAGGCTAGAGATTCATGGCCTCCCACAGGCAACTAAGAAGAAATGGCTGGTAATCTGCTTCCAAAAAAACACTCACTGAAAATCCTACAGGACACAATTTTACTTTGACACATATGTGGTTAGCATGCGTTAGAGATACCAAAGCAAGTGAATGGCTGGTTTTACAGAAAGGCAAGCTGTTGATCCTCCCCACTTAACCAAAGTCCTTCTTCAGGGACTGGCTCCTTCTGATAAAATTTCCCTGACTATATTTTTTCCAAGTTCTTGGAAAAATGTTAATTTTCGGGGGGGGGGGAGATAGATGATAGATAGATAGATAGATAGATAGATTATATATATAAATAGTAATATATAGAAATGTATATATTTTTTGTTGTAGTTGTTGTTAGGTGCCATTGAGTTGAGTATGGCTCATAGCAACCCTATGAACAAAAAGATATGAACCCTGTTCTATCCTGTGCCATCTTGACACACAAGAGCCCACTGCAGCAGTCACCATGTCAATCTACTTGGTTGAGGGTCTTCCTCTCCTTTGCTGACCCTCCACCTTTCCCAACATCATGTCCTTCTCCAAGGAATAGCTACTTCTAGCAATTTGTCCAAAGTATGTGAGGTGAAACCTGATTATCATTCTTGCCTCCGAAGAGTACTCCAGCTGCACTCTAAGACACACTTGTTTATTCTCTTGGCCATCCATAGGATGTTCAGTGTTCTTCTACAACACCACAATTCAAAGGTGTCAATTCTTTTTCTGTCATCCTTATTCATTGTCCAGCTCTCAGATGCACAGCAAGTGATCAGAAAGACTATGGCCAGAATCAGACACACTTTTGTCCTCAAACTAATACATACACACACAGACAGAGGTCCTCTTTCTTGCTCTGTAGATGTCACCAGCATTGTAATTTAGTCCATTATATGTCTTTCCCTCCCCTTTTTCCTGGAATGCTAACCCAAAGGTGGCAGTGGTGGTTGTGTGCCATCAAGTTGGAACCAACTCACAGTTGATTCTCCAATGAGTTTTCAGAAGCAGTAAATTGCATGGAAGGAGATTACCCATCCTCTGCAGAGAGAAGAGTGGATCTGAACTGCATACCTTTGGGATGATAGCACAGCTTGTGCCTCTTTTTTCATTTTAATCCACAGCAGAAAGATGGGCAATCTCCCATGTGATTTATAGTCTCTGAAATCCCTCCAGAAGGTCAGCTTGCTTTTGAGTGGATAGCAACAAATGAGAATTAGTTTCCCTAAATGAATGTTTCCTTTCAAAGTGTGGTGCCTACATCAATATTGCCTAGAAACTTTATTACCCAACTCACTGAAAACCCACTTTAATCCAGTCAATTCCAAGTCAACCCTGAGGATAGAGTAGAACTGCTCCAACAGGGTTTCTGGGTCTGTAAATTCTGTAGAAGTAGATGGTCACATCTTTGTCCCTTATAGTATCTGATGGGTTTGAACTCCACCTGATCAGGACTCCCTTGGAACTTATTGTTGGGTATAGAGGAGTCAGAACCTCCAGCAGGTTTTCACAGGCAGTAAATCAGACCGGAAGAAACTGCACATCTTTCTCCTGTGGAGCAGCTGGTAGATTTGAAGCATGTGCTTTTAGATTGGCAACCCCTTACCACTAAGGCACCAGTGATAGATAGATAGATAGATAGATAGATAGATAGATAGATAGATAGATAGATAGATAGATAGATAGATAGATAGATGATAGATAGAATAAATGGACGATATAACTATACACATACACACACACACACACATATGTATATATACCATAATTCAAATCACATTTCTGGAAAAATATTTACAAAAAATATCAGCAAAATACTTACTGTAAAACACAAGCTAAGATTGCAAAGTACAAATTTTATTCAATTCACATAGTTATCGGATGCCTTTGATATGCATGTTTGAACATGTCAGAAATGCAAATTCCCTGATGCCATGCCATCCCAGACCTACAGAGGGTCTAGAGAACCATATTCAGCATTCTGACAACCAAAATCATTTAGGTGATTTTGCTGTAGCCTTAAGGCTTCAAAGTCACTTGTCTAGGCCACAGTTACTACTATAACCACAAATAAGTTATATGTTACAAAAGGTGTACGTGTTGTGTTTTAGATTTTATATCAATGAGATCGTTTGACCCTCAAAACTACTGCACAAGAAGAACTCTTCTCTCCTTTTGATATGGTTAAATAAGCTCAGGAGTGAAATGATTCTCAAGATCCCAAAGCTCTTAACTGCATATTCAAAGATTTCAGGATCCTACAGTTCCTAACACCACTGTTGGTACAGTACTTAAAGAGGTCGGCTGTCAATCCAATGGTCGGCAGTTTCAAGCCACCAGCTATTCTGTGGAGAAAGAAGTGACTCTGTTTCCGTAAAGATTTACAGACTTGAAAATCCTCCGGGGTCAATTTTACTGTCTTAATAGTTTCTCTATGAGTCTCAATCGACTACACGTTCTAGTTTCCAATACTCTAACAAAGACCTGTCACAATTTGATTGACAAAGATTCTTTTCCAGCTTTGGTCAGTTAGGAAAAAAGAGAAGTGAGGAAATGTGGGAGTATATCTGACTATAAGAGTGTAGCTAGGACTACAGAGGGAGCTGCAATTTAAGGGTGCATCCCTAACTAGGTGCTTCTGAAATTTAAAAAGAAAACTAAATCTGCTGAGTTTAATTCTGTCCTTGACCACAGTACATACAGCCCCGTCACCTCCATCATTGGGTCCGCACCCTCGACAGCCCGCGGTAGTGCAGCTCCCAAGCGAACAGGTTGTCTGCGGGAAGGTAGCCCACCCGCGAGGCCCCTGCGCCCTGCGGTTCAGGGCCCATGGGACTAACTTCCCCCGAAACTGGCACACCCCCAAATCCTACAGAGGGCAAGTGGTGAACCCGAAACCGCAAAGGGCTGCGCAGAAAGAAACCACAAGACCCACGATGTATGAATTACTAGAAGCGAAGGGAAGAGCGAAGGAGGCACGAGTGAAGGGAGGAGAAAGAAATGCCCGGCGATGGGAACTGGAGGGAAGCCGCAGGGCAAGAAAAAGAGCGCCAGCACTCACTGTGAGGGTCGCTCTTCTCCCGGACCCCATCCACTCGGCCATCGGGGTGGATGCGCAGGAAGAAGCCCCCATTTTTGCAGTACAGCCGCTTGGGGTCCTTGAAGTGGCCGGGCGGGAAGGCGCCGCTGGCGCCATCCTCAGGCAGGGTAGGCAGTGTGGTGATGCTCCCGGCTGCCATAGTCCCGCCAGGGCCCTGCCTGGGACTTC